GTGAGCTGCTTGCCACTCTCTATCTGTTCCCACCAAGTCAACCTGTTGTAAATACCCTGGTCATCTGCAAAAGGCGTTCCTTTCTTCCAGTGAAAGAAATGGTATGTTATCTGCATGAAAGACGAAATAAAAGTAGTGATAATCTAAGAGAGATGCACATTAACGCCCATTCAATGATTTGTCCTTTCGTCCATTATACATGATCACATATTCCCCCAAAGACAACACCTTGCATCTTTCACCACTAAAGAGCCTAATGGAATAGTTACCGGTTAAGACATACATGTAACAAAAATTATCAGTTGCAGGAACCCAGAATTCATGTAACTAAAGAATCAGCTAGATTCTCCATCATAAATCCGTCAACTATTTCAAAGATAGATCATGAAATTGCATACAAATCTATTTCAAAGAAGGATTTTTATCAAGATTCTAGGATTAAATGGAACTAAAAAGCATATTAGGTTTGGCAGTAGAGTATTCAGTAAAATCCACATCCACTAATAACAAGTTGCAACTACAATCTCTCAAGTCCAAGCCTCTAATTACAAACACATACCCATCAATTAGCGTAAAGAGAGAAGTAGATCAATATAATCGGCCAATTTCGGAGTAATCTCGAAATACCAGTTAAACTGTTTATTATAAACATATACGTACGACGAAATGAGAGAGATTGACGATTGTCCAGGCCATGCCGGGAGAGCAGCCAAAGACGGAAAGGACGACGAGCCATGAGAAGAAGAGGATGAGGATGTAGGTAGACCACACCCCTGGATACGTGAACCACTCCGTATTTCGATTCAGATCCGTCGACGGCGCCGCCCTTACATACAAATTGGCCATCTGATTCAGGGAAGGAAGCGCGCAGATAGAAATTGGAAGATCCGAAGATTGAAGCACTGGAATCGGTACGCTAATTCCTAATCAACAAGGAAAGTACGCCGTATCTATCACTGTGCGAGAAGCGATTGCAACTTTGGTGTTGCTTTGCGTGGAGATATTCTTCATTGCATATTACTCCGTATGTAGTTAAAAATTGATTTTGATGTGTTACGAAGTAAATGTTCAGTTGCAATTTATAACTTGCTCTTAAATTAGCTTTTACTGATCCTTTCACAAGGTAGGCCGTATTTTTTTTATGTACTGGACTACTAAGTACAGAAGTATGAACTATGGACGAGATAACTTATACTTCCTTCGTCCCAATTTGACGGTTCTCTTACGATTTACGAATCTTGACCGACGATAAAGTAAATGAATCAATATTCGCACTCGAATTATTTGTAGCAAATAAAATTTGCATATTCAGAAACTGCATCATAAGTTTTACAAAATCGCAAAAACCTGAATCAAATTTGATATAAAAAGTAAACGAATAAGAGAGATTTGTGTTGACTGAGTGAATATGTACTAGGATCATCAAATTGGGACGGATGTAGTACTCTCTGTATTGAATAAAGGAGTGTTTGCGAAAAGTTAAAAAAAACGTTGGGGATGATAACTTCTACTTAAATTAATCACTTAAAAGCTAACAGCTTGAAGCAGGTTGGAGGTGCTTTAAACAAACTGTTTTCACTTTTTCTATTACACAAAAAACACTTATTTTATCAAACACTACCAACTTTATTTTTCCAGAATCACTTTTTTCTCAAACACTACCAACTTTTACTATTATACACTTTTTTCAAAATCACTTTAAAAAAATCACTTTTTAAAGTAGAAGCAATCACAAATACTCCCTAAAAACAATAGTTTCTGCCAAGCACCTTGTGGTTCAATGACATCATTGTGACACTCCCAAGAAGGAAGTCACAAGTTCGAAACTCCCAAGAAAGAAGTCACAAGTTCAAAACTCAACCCAATCAAGGATGTTAGTATTTAACATTGAAGTATTAAACACATACTATGAGAGTCTAGAAAATCTAGCAAAAAACAGTAGCTTCTTTTATTTTGATAAAAAAAATTAAGGCACGTTTCTTACATAGGAATAAAAATATAAGTACTCTCTCTAGAGAGATGATCTAATATTTTATTATAGTCGTAGATGAATGAAAAGATTATAGGAAAGAACAATAATCCAATTACATATATAATTTTTTTCTATAACAAGTTTTTTTCAGGGAAAATTAGTTAATTAATATGTAGTACTCCCTTCATCTCGAAATAATTGTCCTGCTTTGACCATCACACAGATTAAGAAAATGAAGTTGACTTCACACTTTAGCGACATTGTTTGGCACTGTAGCGACACTGTTTGGCACTGTAACGACACTGTTTGGCACTGTTTTGCATTGTTTGACACTGTTTTCTATAGATTTATTTACCAAATAAGGAAAGTTTCAAAATAGGACAATTATTTTGGGACATCCATTTTGGGAAAGTAGGACATTTATTTCATGAAGGGGGATCAGACCAAACTTGATGATCACACAAAGAAACGACAACTCTAGCATGGTCATGAGCTACACGGTTCAAAGATCGCTACACATGAGTAAAAGAAATACTAGAAAAACTAGACGATATAACTCTAATGTCGTCAATAAGCAAACCCAAATGTGAATCATTTGTTCGAGATTTGATGCATGAAACAATCTTGAGGGCATCTGATCCAACGTCGATATTATCCCACCCCTCATCCTTAAGCCAGCTCAACGCTTCCCTGATGGACATCGATTCCACCACCTTTGGTGAAAACCCGCCAAACCTGCTACAGGTTTCTCCAACGACAAAGTGACCTCCGTTGTCCCTAAGAAACCGGCCCATACCTCGAGCAGCACTAGCAAAAACGCTAGCATCTGTATTCAATTTTAATTTTCCAAGCCTCGATCTAGACCAGTTCGTCAGGTTCCATTTGTTCCATCTTTGAATTTCCATTTGAGCTCTACGTCAGCCTTCCAAAAAGGTTTTGGCTTCCGCAACTACACTCCCCGCTGAACTGTTTTTGTGCTCCCAACATTTCAGGTTTCTTGCTCGCCAAATGCTCCACGCCACCATAACAAAAACACATCGGTAATCTTCATCATGCGGCAGAAGAACTTCTCCACCCACACTGAAAAACCCTCGCCCCCAACCAATGAAAGATCCCAGCCAAGACTCCTCCAAACATTATGTGCTAGCGGACAAATGCAGAAAGTGTGCATCAGGGTTTCAACTCCCTGATCACAGACTTGGCATACATGCGAACAATTCACCCTCCGAACTAAAAGATTTTTCGGTATAGGTAAATGTCCCGCACAAGCTTGCCAGAAAAAGGCTTTTACTTTCGGCGGAATATGAAGTTTCCAGATACTGGTCCAATATGCAAAGAGGTTCTTCGGATAATCTCCCGATAGAGCCCGGTAAAAACTCTTTACGGTGAAATTACCTTTTTCTTCCAAAGGCCAAAAGACCATGTACGGTACCTCTCTGACGCTCAACGACATTCCCCTTATAAGTTCTCTATCACGCTCGTTACAATGTACCTCAAGCAGATCTTCATCTCGTGTTCTAGCATTGAGTTCAATATGTCCTGCCACCGTTGTCATCTCAAGCCCTTCAATAACCTCCGAGGATAGCCATGGATTTGAATCGTCTGGGAGCCAAGGATCCTTCCAAATATTCACAGATTTGTCATCTCCTACCCGCCATCTAAAGTTGGCTTTAACAACAGATTTTGCTTCAAAGATACTCCTCCAAACAAAGGATGGGGAACCACCTATCTTAGCATCCAAAAAAGAGGAGTGAGGAAAATACCTTGCTCGAAACACCCTTGCAACCAAGGACTCCGGTTCCGTGACTAATCTCCATGCTTGTTTAGCCAACATTGCGATATTAAACTCGTGGAACCTTTTGAAACCCATTCCCCCAAATTTCTCCCGAACACAAAACCGCTCTCAATTTGTTCGCCGAATTCCTTTGCTCGCCTGCCCTTGCCACCAAAACCATTCATAGTCCTCTCAATTCCTCCACACAAATAATGTGGTAAAGGGAAGACATTCGTTGCGTAACTCGGCATAGCCTAAAGCACTATTTTGATCAACACTTCACAACCAGCTCTTGATAAGAATTTATGATTCCAACTGTTGAGTCTTTTGATAACACATTAATAAAAATTTATTCCTGAAGGATTAAATCACATTAATATTGTATTAATTCCAAAGAAAAATAATCCCGAGTCGATGGTTGATTGGAGGCCAATTTTACTTTGTAATGTTTTATTTAAAATTTTCTCCTCCATGGTATATACTTCGAAGCGGTAAAAAGTCAGGCCCATGTTCAAAAAATATTCACTACATGAACGCTCATCCTAAACTAAAAAATGGGAATTGAAATTTGCACCTCACTTTTTGGGTGATACTGGGCTTTGCATCTATTTTGAAAAAACTTTGATTTTGCACCCAACACATAATATTTTGTGAAGATTTTTTTTTGAATGGGATGCAATGTCATACTCTTTCCGTCACTTAAAACTTTGGAAACTTTCATTTTTTGGATGTTCCACTAACTTTGCAACTTTCCCCTTTAAACAAAGAATTTGTGGGTTCGGTTAATTCTCTCTCCTCTGCACAAATCTCAACCACACAGTTTTTACTTTATTAATCTCCGTGCCTGTCAAACTTGGCCAAGTTTTAAGGGACGGAAGTAGTATGTTTTTTAAGTGGAATGGACCAATGGGGTGCAAAGTCAAAAGTTTCGAAAATGAGATGCAAAGTTTAATACTACTTCCATCCCAAAATACTTAGCCAAATCTTAAAATTTGGACCATGAATTTGATTAGTACTCCGTATAACTTTATGAAAGTTAAAAACTTTATACTTTTAAGAAAGCGCTTTTAACAAATACTCCCTCCGTCCCTATAAATCCTTCCCTGTTTGACCCGGACCGCTTTTTAATGCAAGGCATAAAATGCTTTGACTTTCCATAAACACCCTTGTGCTTGGCTGAATAGGGGAGGGGGTAAAAAAATTACTCCACTCAAACAAATGGGAAAGTTAGTTGGACTTGATAGATGTGATCAAGACCAATTCCAAGCTCTCTGCTCGATCTCCTGCCGCCATGGTGAACGTTCCAAAGACCAAAAAGACATTCTGCAAGTCCAAAGAATGCAAGAAGCACACATTGCATAAGGTCACACAGTACAAAAAAGGAAAGGATAGTCTTGCAGCTCAGGGGAAGCGTCATTATGATCGTAAACAATCGGGTTATGGTGGATAGACCAAACCAGTCTTCCACAAAAAGGCCAAGACCACAAAGAAGATTGTCTTGAGGCTGCAATGTCAGGGATGCAAGCATGTTTCTCAGCACGCAATCAAGAGGTGCAATCATTTTGAGATTGATGGTGACAAGAAGGGGAAGGGAACATCTCTTTTTTAAATTAGTCTTGGAATATCATATATTGTTTTATTTTGTTTGTTATATCATGGAGGTTCTAATGCAACAATTTAGTTTTGTCAATTTTGTTGGTTTTGTTGTAATGGTCAAGTGCATTAGAGAATGATATGTATTATGACTGATATTTCTGAAATGTCAAAGTGCTACTTTTAGTTCAAAAAAAATGATAGATGTGATCAAAGAGTGAATAGCAGAACATCCAAAATTTGATTCTAATACACATTCCCTCCTATTTTTGGAAAGAGTTTCTAATTTTCCCTACTACAAATACTCCAATTTCCCTATTCTATCTCCCATTACATACACTACACACACATTGCGCACACACTGCACTAGACACTGCACACACACGCACAAAACAAATGACAACAGCAGTTCATCTTCCATAATTGACAGCTTCCATAAATGTGGATTCCTCGGCCTTCACCTTTCATTAGTGCTCCTCTTTCATCTTCTTCACCCACCAACCTGCACATAACAATAAATGAGGGCCATTCGTAAGAGGCAATCAACAACAACAAAAGTAAGAGATTGTCTAATATCGAAAGGGAGACTATAGTTAATGAAATCCTACTCAGTGCAAAAAGAGACATGTTTGGGGAGTTGTTAGCTCAGAAAGGTGTTTTCACTAAACTGACAACTCAATTTGGAGTTACCGGAAGATCTATTTTCAGCGTATGGGCCATAGCCAAAAACCAACTGAAGAAAAGGGGAGGGGGTGAATGTAAGAACTAGGTGGGCTGGCAATTCTGGCAGGAAAAGGATTGAAGTGGATCTAAGCTCCATCTCTGAAATCCCACTATATAAAAGGACCACTATCAGGGCATTAGCTGCTGCCACTGCCATTCCAAAGACATGTTTGCACATATGTTTAAAAAAGGTATGCTCAGAAGTCACACAAATGCTAATAAGCCTTTCTTAACAGATGCAAACAAATTAAACTGACCAGAATACAATTCTGTTACAGGCAACTTGACAATTCAAATCCATGTAAACCAACATTTCAGAAATTTCAAAATGTGATACACATTAATGAAAAATGGGTTTTCATGTCAAAAACTACACAAAGGTTCTACATGGGTTTGTAAGAGCAAGATCCTCACAGGGTATGCTAGTCAAAGAGGTTCATAACTAAGGTCATGTCCCTAGGAGTATTAGGCAGACCTATATTTTAAGACAGTGGTGAAGTACTTTGGGATGATAAAATATGCATGTTCCCATTCATTCAAAAGGTATCAGCTAAAAGGAGAATCAAGAATAGAGATGCAGGGGGTGATGGAAACAAAACCTATAGTTAGCATGACAAAGGAAGTGTTCAAAGACATGTTAATCAACACTGTCATACTAGCAATTAAAGCTAAGTGGCTTGAATGCTTAAGCAAGGATTGGTCAGACATATCTGGTCATCACATCACCCATACAAGGAATGCTCTGACATATATGGTCATCACACCACCCATACAAGCATTGGTCAATCATATATGGTCATCACAACACCCATACAAGGATTGGTCAGACATATATGGTCATCACACCACTCATACAAACATTGGTCAGACCTATATGGTCATCACACCACCCATACAAGCATTGTTCAATCATATATGGTCATCACAGCACCCATACAAACATTGGCCAGACCTAAATGGTCATGACAGCAGCCTATCACCAACCTTACTCAACCCATATGGACATCACAATTGATAGCCTAAACAGTGGTCACAGAACATGAACCTAGATACATACAAACCAAACATCACACATTCCTTAACCAGCCCACATATTCATCATTACCAACAAATTCAGAAAAACAAACACCATATCTTCATCATTGCTTCCCCAAACAAACACTGCATTACACACACAAACACTGCACTACACTGTAAGGCAGACAAACAAGTCCATAACAAAAGTCTCACACAAACATATGAGAAGTCAAACATACGAAAAGAGATTTAGAAAGAAACTCCCCTGATTGCGAAAGAACTCATACATCCACGTCCCACATCCTAGATTCCCAGCCAGGTAGGATGATTTTTAAGAACGCCTCTAGACGAGGATTTGAGCGTAGAGGGTGCATTTCCACCTCTTTCCGTCTTTTCTCCTTTTGCTCTTCACTGTCCGGAATTAGAACCTCCTTTTCCTGTTGACCATCCTCCTCCTCTTCACTGCCCGGAACCATTAGCTCCATCAAACCTTGACCATCGTCCTCATCCCACGCCTCTTCGTTGTCTGGAACCAGAAGGTCCACCGAAGCTTGACCGTCATCCACATCGGCCTCCACTTCGATGTACGGAACCACAAGGTCCATCAGACCTTGACTATATTCATTGCCTGGCTCGATTTCACTGTCCGACACCATCAGCACGCCCATGCAAGCATTAGATGGACCTAGATCTTCACATAGGATTTCAGAGGTTGATTCTAGATCCATGGAGGTCGAATGTTACGTTAGGGATTTGAAATAAGGACAGGCGATTAGATCAACTGAGAATCTAGGGTTGTTGTGGAATTGAAATTAGAGAAGGACGTGAGACGATGGATCGGAGAGGGACGAAAAAGTGTAGGAGGGGAGGCGGTGCATCGGAAGTCTGAGAGACACAGAGAAAGGGTGAGATAATGCGAGAGAGTGAACAATCAATGGACCGAACAAAGACAGGAAAGAGAGTAAGTGGGGAAAAAAGTAATTGAAGGGTAAATATCAAAAGGGGCAAAATAGGGTTTTTAGTAGTAGAAAATTTCCTTTTTTAGTAGGTGGAAAGAATTTTTTGGAACAACTCAAAAAGAAAAGTGAACAGGATTTATAGGGACGGAGGGGAGTAACATTTTAATATCATTTTTATATTATAAATAATTTCCAATAAATATATATAGGTGGTCAAATTTTTGAATTTGACTAAATATTTTAAAAAGTAGGTAGTATTACAAAAAAAAGTGAGGTGAGTTCGTGCATGCTAGGGCGAGTCTAATCGTCTAAGCAGTCAAGTCGAAGTCTAGACCTGCTGCCGCTCACGCCCGTAGGCTTTCTCCACTTCGTCGGAAAGCTTGAATCGGCTGAATCGCCTCTATAATACTTTTATTTCTTTTCCACGTGCAGCAGTGCCCTACTTCCCTGTGCCCCTCGCCCGATTCCGAGTCCCGCCCTGCGCGGCTGCGCCATCCGGTCTTCCCCTGCCTGCTCGCTGAGTCGGTCTTCTGAATTTTAGGTATGTGTTTTACTTTTAGTTCAGGTATGTATTTTACTTTTATTTAGTTCAGCTTTATGCCTTTTCTGGAATATGAGAGTTCTGTTGATGTGATGTGTGAATTCAGAAAGATTGCTCCCTAGATTTCTGGAATTTAATTGTTGTGAATTTTCAGGCTGTTGTGAACTATAAATTCAGCTTTAGTTCGCGGAATTGTGATCTGTTATTAAATGTGAATATTGTGACTTGTTTGAGTTAAGCTTTAGCCCTTTAATTCGATACAGTTGAGGTTGTTCTTATGATTCGTGAATTCTGAATTCTGGGATATGCACTTGACCAATTCTAAATAACATTGGGGGTTCATCTAAGGATTCTCAGTAAACTATGCGTGAATAATACTGGTCTTTGGGCAATTGTTATGTATTCTTCCTCTACCATACAATTTTTTTATAAGGTGAATGTAACTAGAGATGTTACAGGTGGGAAAATTTGTGTAGGAAGTGCTGGTCAGGGTCTCAGGGAGACTAGATGAGTAACACATGCCAAAGTCTATTTTTTTCAATACAGCGCGAGATGGGTTTTCATGGTTTTAGCCCTTTAGATTCTTTCCGATTACTAAAAATTTTAAAAACGAGTAGCCAAATCAATCTGTTTTATTAATGTACTACCTCTGTCCCACTAACATTGGGACATGAGAGGTAGCACGGTTATTAAGAAAAGTGAGTTTATGTAGTTGATATTAAATTGACAAAGTAAGAATAAAGTAAATGAATTAGAGCCACACAAACTTCACCAAATTTTGTATGGGACAATCTTGGTGGGATTTCTGGAAAAGAAAAAATGAGACAATCTTATCGGGACGGACGGAGTAGTATGCAAGGTTACCATTTAGGTGGTGTTTGGAAATCAACCTTTCAACCACCTTTTGACTTTCTGGATTGACTTTAAGTGCGACAAGTAGCGATAGTAGATCATGGTTGTGTATCTCATTGTAGTAATAGACAAAGAAGAGGAAGCATCTAGTTTTGAGACCATCTTTTTTTTTTTAAATTAATGAATGCTTTCAAATCAAAAATGCATTTTTTTGTTCATTCTTTAAGACAATTTCCATGCTTACATTAAATATTTGTATGATTTAATACGGACCTTCTCTTGACAGGAAAAATGAGGAGAAAATGATGAAAAAATGAAAATCATACATGTGAAGAGCCAGTTATAAATGCATAAGGAGTACTGAGTTTGTCATTTCTCTCCTTTTTCTTGAACATTTTTACGCTAGCATGGCTCATTGGTGCTTGGTCATATTACATCTAGTTGATCAGCATCTCAAAGTTGTTACATTTGATTAGCTATTAATCATTTGCATTCTTCATGCATAAAAAATATATCCTGTACTCTCTACCCATGTTCAGTCTAATAGCTTTGCATAATGCCTAATGCCAATTAGACCTTGAAGTGGTTAAAAATAAAGCTGATATGATTCAAGTTTTTTTAAAATGCTTATAGCCTGTATGTTGACATTTTTTAAATGGGACTTTCTTTGGGTTTCTTCTGAGGTAGTACACCGTTGAAGAAGTAGTATGCGATTCCCACCGTATAATAGCAAAGAAATTGCCTTCCTATGATATGGCCTTGAAACGAAGAGGCAGAGATAGATTACAGTTGATGAAGAAGTCACTATGGTTTTGTGTATAATAATAGAGGTATTGTTGTAAAAGCCTGAATGACATATTTCTATTTTTTGGACTCAAAATGTATCACTTTTTGTTTGAAAGCTATAATCACCTTTTAAAGAAAAAAGGATGAACCACATCCCCGACTGCCCCAGCACCATTCTGTTAAATGAGTGGATGTGACTATAATCACTTTATGTATAGGACGGACTATAGGAGGCTTTATAACCTCAAGGGATAGCCACTTCCATAATCAAAATTTGTAATTACTACTTTGTGCTTCATAATTAGTTTTGTAGTTAGTTTGCTATCCTGCGCAATGCATGACTAAAAGACTACTGTCTCAGTTAACTAGGTTAAATGGAAACTGTTTAGGAGTGGTTAAATGAATACTTGAACGTCTAGTTTTTTAGACTGTCACATCTAAAATTTTCATGGCATTCTATGTGCACCCGAGCCATAACCTTGATGTCCTATTTTCCGTGTCTCCCCCTTTATATTATGCTACGCTTAATTCCCGGTAGAGGTGAAGTGTTATTTCTGAATTCCTATTCATTATGGTGGAAGCAGCCAACCAGGCCTTCTTCCAATTTTTAAAATTTGTTTACCTACTTTTGTTTTATATTTTATCACTCACTTCACTTATTTGGGTTACTTTGTAGGATCAGTACTTTCCACATCAGTGTAGGACTTATTAGCCAAGGGGATGGCTGAGCGGCATGCTATGGACCAGCCTGTTCTAAAGGATGATATGATTGCCTGTGTCATGGCTCTAGAAGCTGCATTGCTTCCGTGCCTACCTGCCAGAGAACTCCAAGCAATTGACCGTTCTGCTCATCCTTATCACCAGAGTCAGTGATTCCAACTCTATTCCTCGATGTAAATACCCTGTCAATTTTATTTGAACCAGATTAAACAAAATTATGAAATAAGAATATTATGCTGGTTAGTCAAGTGTGGAAACTTTATTTGAACCTTGTCAAAAGAAGACAAATTCACAGAGTATAGAAACTTTAGTTACACTTGGATCGAGTGTTTAGGAGGGGAAGGCATCATTGGATTTTACCTTTTGGTATATATTTGAGATTTTATAAAAAATGATTGACTCTAATATGATATGCTGTCGTATAACATTTCCATTACATATTATTCATTTTTAGAAACATTTTTCGTCAACTATTCAAAGCATCCGCCTCCAAGGCCTTCTTAAATCTCCATGCAAATAGACCTTTGGTTCAAGTGCAGCAGGCATCTCAATTTTTGTAAATCCTTTTCATTTTCTAGTTACATCTTCTCCGTCAGTGTGTCTTTTATTCCATCAACCTTCTTGCTTGCCCAGTTGCACTATTTCGGTGGGGAGGGAACTGTAGGGGTAAAATCAGTTTTACTAATTTATCAATATTTTATATTAGAAAATAAGTTCTTATATTATTAGTTAAACAGTGCACTTCGTTATGGTTTCCCACTTTTATATTCATTTTAATCAACAAAGGTGGAAGTTAAATTATTAATAAAAATAAATATCACCCCCCTTCCCTGCCCCCAAACCATACAAGGGGCTAGTGATTTATGCTTCTATATAAAAATCTAATTGCTCAACTAGGTGATTCTTTTACTCTTTTAGTTGATGTTGAGAGGCATGCTAGAGATTTTATGGACGCGGCAAAAAAGCTTCAACTTTTTTTTATTGGATTGCAACGTCAGGATCAGCCAAGCAGAGCAAGTTGTCTCCTAAAGGTAATTTGATTATAACTCAGATGTGCCTCAATTGCCTCAATTACCCCATGATATACCCCTATATTTGACATTGCACCACGAATTACTTCCTTCAATATTGCAACACAAAGCTAGCTGCCAAATTTGAATGCAAGCCATGGGGTGCAAAGTCTAACGGATGGGACACTCTGTGGAGGGCATCCGTGGATTATCAAAAGAATGACTTCCCTAGATTAGTTTCTCACTTGTCATTTGCATTGATCCCATAATTGTCTTCCCATTTCTTTTAAGGGAAAGAGTTTTTTTTTTATATTTTTCTTTGTTTTTTAAGTAACTCTTGACCTTATAATTTTTGTTCTCCTAGAAAGGGTACCAAAAGCATAACGGGAAGCTAATTTTAGGAATGAATAACAGGGTAAACTATTGGGGGAGCAAACTCAAAACTTTCTCATTTTATATGGCCCCACAAGTGCTCCATCTTAACCCACTTTTGTCCCAACATATGTGTTGGGGCCAGTCTGTGGTTCGCCAAGCACCCAATCTACTATATTCTGGTATGAATCATATGATGTATCTCTTGATAGGAGATTTCGACCATGGAAGAAGAGTTGAAAACGAAAAGGGAGATGATAAGTAAGCAAGAGAGACTTATACAAGAATGGAGGGAGCAATTGGGCAACCAATTGAATGAACACATCACTGAGTTGGAAAGGGTTTGAGAAAATGGGATGAATTATATGCTTATGTTAATCGACCCCAAATACTTTTGAAAATAAGGCTCAGATGTTGTTGTTTGGTTTCTACTTTCTACTATGCAATCGAGTCCTATGTCAATAATTTCCGTAGCACAATTTGATTGATCTGTTATGGACCCTCCTTAGCTACCAAGCTTTTATACTTTGCTTTTTAATGAATCAGTTAGGGTGTGTTTGATGCACCTGAAGTGAAATGGAAAGAACAAATGCAGAAGAAAATTAATTTCAAATGTTTGGCTTTACCTTCGACAGAAAATATCTACGTAGTATATATTTAACTTTTTTACTTTTATGGAGATTTATTAAATTAATAAAAAAGAAAGTGCAAATGCTAGAGAAGAAAAACGCTAAAGAAGGAAAAATTAGAGAACAAAATAAAGCTGAAGGGGAAAACGCTAATGGAAGAAAAAGGAATATCTATAGATTTAATAATTGCATTTACCTTTAAGATCTAACAAGTCATGTATAGAAAGAACTTATATATTATTATTATTATTATTATTGTAGTACAAAAAACATGTAGATCAGAGTTGTTGATTTCTGTTATCAATGGTGCTTTGTGTACATGCCGTGCACACTCCCCGCCGGCGTTATGTCTGCACAAACAATTTTTTTCGTTTTTGTAAAGTGATTTGTCGGTAACATAGACAAATATTGTCTGTAGCAAAGATAACAATGTTTGTTCGTGATCCAGACAATTCACTTTAAACAATAATAAAAAAATAATTATCTGTGCACAGATAAAGAGAAGATACACGTGACATGTACAAAACAAATTACTCCCTCCGTCCTGAATTGAATTGCAAACTTTGACGACACAAGGATTAAGAAATGATAATAAATGATGCCTTCTTTTTATACTTTTACCCATCTTTCTAAAAGTAGATGCCTTTAAGTTAATGGAGAAAAAGTAAAAGTAAGAGTAAATTTGTCACTTTATTCTTATTTACATACCTAAAATAGAAAGTGTAAAACCATTTTAGGACAACCAAAAAAGAAAATTTTGCAAATCAAATTGGGACGGAGGGAGTATTCCTCTGTTATCGATGTCCGAGCCTAGAGTTTAGAGGTCTCTTGGTATTGCAGAATTACAAAAGAAATACTGGGATACAATAGGCATTTAATATACTACGTACTACTACGTATATTATTTAAATCTAATCAAGGGCTATGAATAGTAGACTTGCGACTCCATTTAGAATTGGCACATTTTATTTCAAAAGATGTCGTGGAGGCCTTCTTAATGGTCATGGTAAAATAACCGAGGTGTAATTAGAGATTTGTGGGCTATGAATAGTAGACTTGCGACTCCATTCACTCCAATTTTAGTGATAAAATAGGAACTACTTACCTATGACTTCTTGTCAAATTGGGTATAAGAGGTGTAATTAGAGATTTGTGGCCAGAGTTCATAGATTCAAGTCCAACTGTGAAACTTTGGTGGAAAAATTAGTATACATGAAGGCTGTGTTTGGATACTAGCGTCTTGAGCAAAACGCCACTTTTTAACGAAGGAAACACTGTTATTTTTAGCGTTTTGGCCAGAAAATGCCAAAATATAAACAGCTCCATAATGCTATCTTAAATATTGGAATGTGATGACAAGTTGACAGCCCCATGGACCGGACTACTACTCTTTACAAGCCAATGCATGGAAAAAGGTTAGGAATTACGTATGTTTTTCCCATTAATAGTCTCATCTCTACAAAATTATTACTTAGTACAAAACTTTGGTGGAGCGAATGACACCTTTTAATTTTGGTCTTGATGGAGTATATGGCCCAGGGACCCCCGGCCTACATACTTCCTCTACTACAATCAGGCCCAACAGACCCAAACGGGCCAAGCCCAGAAAAATGGAGCTCTAAGCAGCCCACAATACGCAAAGGGGTGCCTTCGGCCCCATGGTCGAAGGCTACCAGTGACGGAATCGAGCTCAGAAACATCACAGGAGAACAAGGCTTGAAAATCAAGCCTTCGGCAACTGCAGCCCTCGGCAGGTAGGAGCCCTCGGTTAGAAGAGGCATCACAGGAGAACAAGGCTTGAAAACCAAGCCTTCGACAACTGCAGCCCTCGGCAGGTAGGAGCCCTCGGTTAGAAGAGGCATCACAAGAGAACAAGGCTTGAAAACCAAGCCTTCGGCACCTGCAGCCCTCGGCAGGTAGGAGCCCTCGGTTAGAAGAGGCATCACAGGAGAACAAGGCTTGAAAACCAAGCCTTCGGCACCTGCAGCCCTCGGCAGGTAAGAGCCCTCGGTTAGAAGAGCCTTCGGCCCAGCACCCTTCAGCCGAAGGCATCCACCTCGACAGAATATCCTCTTCACATGCGCCTGGATCACCGTACCAAGTACAAACGTCACATCCAACCACCACATTTAATGCGGCCACATGCGAGTGCCAGTGCCACCCCGGTCGAGGTGACCCCTCGACCACCAGAAAACTGACACGTGTCCTTATCTAGCATTTATTACTACTATAAATAGCACCCCTTTCCCTCATTGTAAACCACGCTTAATACATATCGAATATACACTCTCTCTCTTACTTATTTGCTCTGACTTCTCTCTAGTTATTCTCCGCAATAACCCCTCGGATAAGCTACCCCCGGGTACACTGTCCATCAGGTCTTTTGGAAGTTATTGAAATGGCTCAATCAACCTTATTCAATAATGAATCTCTTGCCCAAAAACTTGTTAGAGGTTATTCTACCTGTGGGCGTACCTCAACTGATAGCAAGGGAGTGCCACAAGGTTTAGGTCCCGGGTTCGAATCCCGGCAACTGCGATGAGAGGTTACTATGCTAAAAATGCATAGGGCCTCTGCAAGTACCGGGAACAGAATCTCACTCTCTATCTGTCAGATTGGGATTATAGTCCAATTTACATCATCCCAACGTACCGTCCGGTCGGGGTTGGGGGCCTCAGGAATGAGGTGTCATCCTTTTTTGTTAGAGGTTATTCTCGATAATAACAAGATTTTTCGACGGTGTATGATCAAGTTGGACATCATAAAGACATATGGTATGTTGTCTTGTCTAAATTTGTCTTTTCTTGAGCATGTTTTGATTGGTCTAGCGTTCCCTCAATCTTTGTCAGATTCCATTTCTTGAATAGCTATAGACTTTAATTACAGTTTTCTTTTACTATTTGATTTTACTCTCAGATACAGTTTGCTTCCTTTTATCAGCCTTCTGTTTTTGGAGATGAATCCAGGAGGAACCAATGGTGTGTGATGTTTTGATCTTTAATACGATGATGAAGGCCGTCTTATAGGTCACTTTTAAATGGGGCCCACAAAATTAATATGGAATGTGTAGATAGTACTCACATAATTTTAGTATTTGGATTTACTTGGTAGCTAGTTTGGCCCTAAAGCTCTGGATGAGATGAAAGTTGATATTTTTCACATTTTAATACGTAGTATGCAACATTAGTGTCTTATAATGCTTAGACGTGCGTACCAGCTGATCACAGCATTTGGTTATTGTACAAAATGCGTTCTCCGTACTTCTACGGCTAGGCATGTCTACTACCAAGGAGCCATTGGGCCAGCGGGTCCAGTGCAAGGGTGGACACCTACCTAGCCAGGACTCTAGCTAGCTGGGCCATATCATATCCATCACTAACAAAGCTAAGCTAAGGTCAATAGCGAGCGTACGTTGCACTAGTTGAGCCTCACTCCCCGCTCGAGTCCCACAGGGCCCTGGCACTACCACAAGTGTTTGCAATCATCTGCCATCTTATCCTCTCCAGATATGAGCCGGACAAAAGCTATACATGCCCAAGCAAGTCAAAACAAGAAGGATAGAAGCCCAATATATTTACCCACCGGGCCGCTCCTGTATTTTACACCAGTAGCCAAAGTACGCTACCACGGCAACAGTGGAGGACCTAGAGGGGAATGGGGGCAGCGCCCCCGCTTCCTGTCCCGGAAAAGAGTACTGCATACTAAATATTATTAGTACCGGTTTGATAAGTGCTACCTAGTTGAAAATTATGGAATACTCTACGTACTCTCTACGTTCTTTTTTAGTTGCAACGGTCAATATTTCACATTTGTCAACGCACGTCTTTGACTGTAATTATATCTTAATTCTATTAGTAAAAAAATATTAAAAATCAGATTTTGAATATTTGTAATGAGATGAATTGAACAATATTTTTTTAAAAAATAGTTTTCATAAAATAATAGCGTAAAATGCAGTCAAAGTAGAGCATGTGAATAGTGTAAAATTCAACATATTGTGATTAAAACAGAACGGAGGATAGTGTTAGTTTTAGTATGAGACTATGAGTAGAGTTGGACTGGGGTCGGAGAAAGTCGCCAAATGGAGTGGGCCGTGGTGACTTACACGTTGCCAATTTGTTTGGCGTTTCTGCCTACTACGGGAACAAGCCGCAATAGACAGTGCTTATACCGTGGAACCGGTGCATGGTGAGCACCATGCACCCTTTGTTATTTTTTATTTTTCCTTTTCTTAAAATTGTTAATTTTTTTTTTTATTTTTGATCCGATTTTTATAAAATTTATATCAAATTTTTTCATTTTTCATGATCTTTCAAATGAGACCAATATTGTCTATGTAATTTTAATTTTTTACATTCATACATTTTTTTGTAATATATTTTTATATGCATACACTTTTTCTATAATATTTTTTTTATCACTTTTATATGTTTTTAGAGGTTTTTAAGATATTGAGTTTATTTATTTTGCTTCTAGCTTGGAGTTACATTTGATAATATACGAAGTTACATCATCTTATACTCCAGTTACAAGTTATTATATGTGAGTTACATCTTGTTATGTGTGAGTTACATCTTGCTATACACGAGTTACATACTTTTATGTGCGAGTTACATGTAATTATGTGTGAGTTACATCTTGTTATGTGTGAGTTACATCTTGTTATACACGAGTTACATACTTTTATGCGCGAGTTACATGTAATTATGTATGAGTTATATCTAATTATTTGTGATTTTTTACTTATCTTTATCTTGAACTAATTCAATTATAACTGAATTAATTTTTTTCTTTGCCAATTTAATACAAAATTTTATTAATCCACATAAAAAAAGTATATTGTATTTCATATTCATACATTATTTTTCAAATGATAAAAATGAAAGATGTAGCATGAGTTTATTTCATGGTGTAACCCACATACATTAAGATGTAACTCGCGTATATTAAGATGTAATTCGCGTACAATAAGATGTAACTCGCGCAGAAGAAGATGTAACTTCATGATATATTATCAAATGTAACTTCAAAATAATTTGTTAAAATTACATAAGCAATATTGGTCTCATTTGATAGATCATGAAAAATAAAAAAATTTGATATAAAATTTATAAAAATCGGATATCAAATAAAAAAGTTATTACAATTTTTAACAATAAAAGAAATAAAAAATAATGAATGTTGCGTCGTTTTGGGATCGGGGGCACCATCCTCATGGTGCGCCGATCTCAGGATATAAATTACCCGCAAGGGAGAAAACTGTTTGTGGGGCTCATGAATTAAAAATCACATTTTTCTTTAAAGCTTAATAACTTTTTATTCTTTGAATCAATTTTTATAAAAAATATATCAAAATTCATAACTTTTCATTATCTTTCATATGACACCATTATTGAATACGTAAATTTAAAAAAATGTGAAGGCTTGTTAAACGAATTTTTAGCGGATAGATATCATAAGGTTTCGACTGCTATTGGGATAATGGACCGGGTCCAATACTATCAACCCAATATGCCTGAGCTCGGGCACGAATCAGGCCCAGCACACGGTCCGGCTAGAGAATATGGTCCTTGGATAGATTTGTTTAACTCTTGTGCCGACCGGCCCATTGGCCTTAGATCAAGCTTCTTGTTTTAGTTGTTTAATTGGGCCAAGCCCATTAGCCTTAGACAAACCTCTTGTAAGCGCCTATAAATAGGCCGCCCCTCCTTTTGTATGGGGGACGTCACTTTTACTATACTGAATTGCTGCCGAATTTTCTACTCAACATATTTTCTACCAACAATGGTACTCTCATTGAGAGCTTTGCTGTTCTATCAGTTTTCGGTAGAATCTTCGAGGAGGAAAATGGCAGGATCATCAAGGCAAGAGCGAGTTTCCATTCACACCCAGCATTCAGAACAACCCAATGGCCATCATGTGAGAAGCCAGGTGGTGAGACTGATAGGAGATCTCCGGAACCATTTGGCGAGCTCAGGGGACCTGAGGGGTTCGCTGAACCACAGTCGTGACAGACAATCCATTCATGATGGGATTGGAGGCCGCCGTCGTCGGGCTCCGTGCACGAACCGACTTGACGCTGGAGTGTGGGCGCTACAAGAGGCCACGCGCGCCATTGGGACTTTGGCTCAGAATTTCTAGGGGATGATGCCGCGGAGAGCTAATCACGAAACTCCGAGACACACCACCCCTGAAGACATCGAGACTTCCTCTGGGAGATATGAAGGGCGACGTACTAGTTCGGATGAATCACGAAGGGAATCCTTGCCTCGGAGGGAGCATATGCCCCGACGGGTCAAACAGCCTCGACGACCCCGAAAGGGGAGGGCCCCACCGAGACTCGTCACTGGAGGGCGGGGATGACTTCTCTCATCAATTCGCCGTCTAAGTGGTCAAACCGGTTCCATAGAAGGTCACCGTGGTGTCCATTGGCCTCACGCGCGTGAAAGGGTCGCAGAATCCTATGTGCGGGTCCAGCCTCGTGTTGGGCGCGGGCCGGAGGAACCAGCGCCTGAAGCTGTGGAGGATCTCAGATTGAGGTTGGACGAGCTAAGGAGGAGGGTTGTTGGGGGAGAGTCGTACGTGGTCGACCTCCATATCCCGGAGCCCTTCACTCGTGCTATAATGGAGGCTCCGTTGCCAAGGGGCTACAAACCTTGCAATGTGGATACTTACAAGGGCACTTTGGACCCGCAACACCACATATCACGTTACCTGTCGTATATGGTCATGATGGGGTATGAAGATGCCATACGATGCAGAGGATTCACGGCTACTCTAGATGGCCCGACTCGTGAGTGGTATGACACACTGCTCGATGGGAGCATCAGGAACTTCAGGGAGTTGGCTAGGCACTTTCTCTTGAGGTTCGCCGGCTCACGAGATGTGAAGAAGAATTTCAGCCATCTGTTCAGCCTGAAGCAAGGAAAGAAAGAGGCCCTGTCCACTTTCCTGGCAAGGTGGAGGGCCGAGTCGGTCAAGGTTCAGGGCCTTGACGTCAGGACCGGAGTGGCAATGCTGACAAATTATATCCGATCAGGAGAACTTTACAAGGATTTTGTTAGGAATCCACCCGCTTTATACGAGGAAGCCCTGAGGCGGGCAGACCGTCAGACTGAGGCAGAGGACACTGAACAGAGAAAGAGAGATGAAGAGGATGGAAAGAAAGAAGACACGAAGGACAAGGGAAGACGTGGTGACCCAGATGATGAAGACGCCGATAGGAAGTCTGGTGGAAAGGGCGGCCGGTTCAAAGGTAAGAAGAATAAGAAGAAGAGAAGGACGGACGTCCCGAACGATCCACTCCTACCTACCAAATATCTGACACCTTTGGCTCAATCGGCCGGAACGGTCCTTGACTATGCTGAGGAGCAGGGTTTGGTTTCCTTTCTAGAGGAATGTGACGTAGTCACTGCCAAACGCAATACCGACCAGTACTGCAGGTTTCACCGGAATTTCGGGCATGATACGGACGAATGCATCGTTCTCCGTAGACAAATCGAGGCACTTATCAAACAAGGATTTTTGGGCCAATTTGTAGGAAAACCGGGAAATGCCCAGAAAGGGAGGAACCTGACATGGAGGCATTTCGATCAAACCACCACGTCCAAGGAGAAACAGCCCCTTGACCAACTATCAAAGAAGCGCGAGCTCGGAGCTCTGTCCGAGGATGACAAGTGTGACCTAGGAGAGGGAGCCCGGAAGCATCACAGATGCTCCTACATCGTGGGCGGCCCACAAGGAGGGGACACGTCAGGCGAAAGGAAATGATGGGCTCGATCCTTGTACGTCGGGGAAATTACCGGGGTACCTTAATGATTAAGGCGGAGATCAACAATACAATCATTCATCGAGTTCTAGTGGACAATGGAAGCTCGGTGAACGTAATGTATTATGACACATTCCAAGGCCTTGGTTTAAGCGGGGCGGATCTGAGTCCGGTAAGAACACCTTTATCCGTGATGGTGGGTTCGGAACCCTGTGTAGCAAAGTTGAACCTCGAGTTTATTGTCGTACGTTTAACCTATCCGCACAAAATCATCATGGGAAGACCCGCACTGGAGGACTTGAGATGCATTATCTCTCAGGAGCATTTATGTATGAAGTTCCCCACCCCGAACGGGGTCGGGATAGCTTAGGGAGATCAAAGGATGGCCCGGAGTTGTTACATGAAGGCGTGCAAACAACTCGGACAAAGGGACCTCAGGGTCCACACTATCAATAACAAAGCCATGAAGTATGAGGATGGCCAGCTCCGCGCTGAGCCCACCTCCGAGGTTGAAGAAGTTCATATCGATCCCGAGCACCCGGAGCGAAAGATCAAAATCAGGTTGGGGCTCCCGGCCGGACTGAGAGAGAAAATCATCCAAGTGTTGGTCACGTTCAGTGTGATCTTCGCATGGGGCCTTGAGGATATGCCATGGTTGTACCGGAGTGTGGCCGTTCACAGGCTAGCGGTCGACCCGACGGTGAAACCGATCCAGCAGAAGAGAAGACACCTCTCAGTGGAACGAAGGGATTTCATGAAGAAGGAGGTAGCTATGCTCTTGACTATCAAACACATCAAGGAAGTATTATACCCGAAATGGTTGGCAAACGTGATCCTGGCACCGAAGCCCCCAACTTGGAGAATGTGCGTCGATTACACAGACCTCAACAAAGCATGCCCGATGGACCCTTTTCCTCTACCTAACATCGATCAGCTAGTTGACGGGACAGCCGAGTGCGAACTCCTTAGCTTCATGGACGCATTCCGGGGGTATCATCAGATATCCATGCATGAAGATGATGCGGAGAAAACCTCTTTCATCACCCCGTTTGGGATCTTTTGCTATCTAGTCATGGCTTCTGGCTTGAAGAACTCCGGGGCGACATACACGAGA